GTCAGCCTGCAAAAACTCCGGTGATGAAGAACAGCAACAGCAACGCCAGAACCCGGGGCCGTCCAGTTTACCTGATCTCCCGGAATCGGCACTGCCCCCTAAAAAGCGTTTGGCAGCAAGACTGGTTCAATTGGGGGCCGATGGCGATGGGCATAGTTTCCAGCAACCAGAGAACCAGCAGCATGACCGTGAGCCCGCTGCAGCTTCGTTGGCTCTATCACCAACTGAAGTGGCTCCCAGGCCTGCGCAGTTTGGCTTCCCACCATTTCCAGTTCGCAGCCCAGTGCCTTCAGCACAACGGCAACCGCAACCCGATCTGGATGCAGCCGGAGGACTGCACAGTCTCCCCCATAGCCAGCATCCTACTGGGAGTTTCGTTTTAGGTGCAAGCCATACAGCCTCCCAGTGGACGCAGATGCTGCAGCAACGGCTGGACCTGCTGCAGCGTGAGCAGGAAGGGAGGCGGCAGCACTATCAGCAGCAGCAGGAGTTCTTTCAGCAGCAGCAGCACGCGTCTGGGCAGTATCGTCATCTGCAACAGCACCATAGTTTGTACTGGGGGAGTTCTGGTCGGTGGTTCCTGCAATGGCAGCAGCCAGAGCAGCAGCAGGCGACGCCGCAACTGCAAGGGGGTCAACAGTTGGTGCCACCCCAGGGATCCCAGCCGGGAGCACAAGACGAGAGCCCGTTGCAACAGCAGCGGCAGGACGTGATGCGGCAGGGCGTGCGCGAACAGCGCGATAAACAAGCAAAGCGGAAGAGACACGAGGAAGAGGAGGCGGAGGACGGAGAGCAACACGCCAGTGCATTCTCACCTTATAATGAAAATATATGGCTTTCCTCTGGCATCCCAAGGCACCAGATACCTCAGCCCAGCACCTCTCAACAGGCATTGCATTCTTCTGCTGCTCCAACAGTACTAAGTCCCTGGATGGCCGAGCACATGCTCACGCTGGCGAATCCTGGATTCCCATCTGTTCGTCTTGCCGCACCTGCTGTTTCTGCTTTTGCAGAGGCTTCAAGGGATGAAGCTGCTGTAGCTCGTGAAGCATGGGATGCAGCAGCATGCGCAGCAGCCGCGCTTCATAATCGTGTTGCCGGGTCGCCGTCTGCTCCATCCACGATAGACAGAGCAGGCACTAGCGTGGAGGTGACGGCCTTTTCTACTTTCCAGGCTGCTGCATGTGCTGAGTGTGCACGCAGAGCAGCGCCCGCAACAGCAGCGGGTTCTGCCGCACCCGCATCTGCACCGCATGCAGCAACTACGGGCATGCCAGAGAGTCCGGGTGAAGATTATGGTTTTCACCCATTCGTACGTCTGCCAAGGCCAATAACATCCCCGGGATCTCCCCCGAGGATTGACTTCAAGCGTGCCGTGTCCAGCGTGGCCGGCATGAGGGATGGTGTGTCACTTCTGCTGAAGGTTCGTCAGTTGCTTGGGAGAGCAATGTTGTTTCCTACAGAGTTGAAAGACCTGACTCTTGTGACTACACTCCTGATGGCGCACCTAATGCATCACCAAAAGCAGGACTTGTCATTGCACCTGAGCGGACACGCACTTGAGCGGTTGGGTCTTCGTTTTCTCATGTTGGATGCTGTGGTTTCATCCATGATCGTTCTTGGGCAGACACCAAATCCAGAAGATTGGAAGCGTTTCGTAGATTCCATTGGCCACGCCGCACCCCTTCCGGTTGAGAGCGGCGTAGGGCGACCGAATTTAACCATAGCTGGGGCACGTGAACTAAGTGACGCACTGCAAACACTCAAGACGGGAAGGAGGCCGGACCCCCCAACCATTGTGAAACTCAAGCGGATGCTTCTCTGCTCATCGTCCGCCCCTGCCCGTTTTAAAAGACCGATCTTCGATCCCTGGAGAGAGGATGACGACAGGTTTTCCAGTGGGCTGTAGCTTCTCCCACCAGTAGTGGAGCGGGTGAGAAAGCTGAGGATACGCAAATGTGTATTTTACGCGAGAAAAGTGCTGCTTCTGCTCTCTGCGGTTGTCTTCACCAGTCATGGGCTACCATGACGGCTGCTGACCCTCTCGACAGCCTGAACGACAGCTATGAACGATTTGGGGGCAACGTATCCTACAGCAGATACTGAATCCAAAGACTACCGTTCCCCTTGTTGGAGTGCTTCTGCTCGAATATGAACGGAGCGGAAACGGTGTAGGCAAGGACTCAACGGAATTCAATCTTAAGGTAGTGGTAAAAAACATTGATCACCGTGCCCTGAGTTTCATAAGTATGAGATGGAGTTGGAAAGGTTCTACGTGTCTTTCATAATTGAAATGGCTTGGCGTGTTACTGTCCGCACCACAGCGCCACTGCCAGAGTGTAGCATGGCCTGTGTGAAGTGGGTATGTGTATCTCTCCGTTCGCGCTCTCTGGCTGTGGATGGCCAAGTAAGTGTTTAACAGCTGTCTGCGGTCTCAGCATGCTGCGCAAAGCTAACTTAGTTGTTCTTCCACGCGTGGCGGCCTTGCAGCATTTGTTGGAGCAAGGTGCGTTGCAGTTCATGAACCGTCTCCTCTCGCGCCAGCTCCATGCCCTCGGGCCAATATCTTCAGGATGCCCGAGAGCTGGTGGGGGAAGTGGACGGCCAGCTGTCTTCTGAAGATAATTTTCTAAGCCCTCGACTACATTGCGGATTGCACGGGTCCTTAGCTAAGACGCAATACCCTCGCTACACTTGGTAACGCTGCGTGGCAATCGGGGCAGATGCGAGCAGCGAACCTCGCTCCCCAAACAACGCGGTCTGATGAATGGCAGTGATTAGTAGCGAAAGCGCTTTGAGAAAATATAGGCAGAGCAATATTTAGGTATTCACTAGCAACGTCCGTGTCAAAGAGCTAGTCCTTTTCTCCTCTTTCGCAATGGAGAGTGATCTGGATCTGCCCTGTGGCAAGCAGCCGACAGCTAGGCGCCTCGCAAGATTGGAGAATGCAGATCATCTGCACCCAGTCCAGCATAATCAAATCCTGGAAAAAACCCCGGCCTCTGCCGATCGCCAAGATATGACGGGTGCACCGATGCGGGGTCAGTCGGGGAGTTCCTCGCCTTTGTAGGGTTGTACTTCCACCTTCAAAATGCGCAAGAAGCGCCATGTGCGTTGTTGTTAACTCTTTCATAGACAATTTCGGCATGTCAATAGTGACTATATTTTAAGCTGGAGTATCACTTTCCCTGGATGCATCCGGAGCAGGGAAGCGCTTTGAGCTGCCCTGCGATGCAGGCTTATTCCCAAGTCGGGAAACGGGTATGACAGATATGAGCAGGCTTACAGAAGAAAAGCTGTAGATAGAACCCTATACCGAGAACTATCAATTCTTGATGAGCAACATTGAAACGGTAGACTTGGGCCATTATCATAGCTTACCACGAGGCTGTCCGCTGCAGAGGCGCAATCAGTAACCGGCTGGGCCGCGCAGAAGGAAGTCAGGGGTGACAGCGAGGAACTCGCGGGGGCAATGGAGCACTTACGTATCTATTGGGAAAACAACGCCACTTTCACCGCCCTAGGTAAGAAGAAAACGAACGGGTTTAGAAATGGCCCGGAGGTAGAACCTTTGGATACCGGGGCCACGAACGCCAGCCCCGACCAGAAAAAGATAAGCAGGAAGGACAGAGGCCGGCATGTTTGGAGGACTCCGGCACTGCGAAACTTTAGGGGACGTACCAACCGGCGAATGTGCTTCTTTTGCAGCAAATAAATAAGACCAGATAATTCGAGAAAGCAGGATCCAAGATTTTACCAAAACAGCGATCAGGAAAGCTCACCTAGCCGCCAATCAACGTGCAGCGCATTGATGAGACCGAAAGAGGTGATACCTGCACCTGCAGATCCCCGTTGAGTAAAGTCGGTGGTGATCAAGGTTCGCATTAATGCTCAGGGACAGCTGGCGCTACTTTGGGACAGGCTGTAGAGCAACTATTGTGTTTGAAGTTACGGTGAGGATGTGCAACCCATCAGTATTTTCCTTTCAGCAATCTCTGCGACTACGTTTGTCCGGTGGCAGGTAGGTGACGAGCGTCTGTAAAGCTGTGGGCGTACACTGAGCGTTGGATTCAGAAAAGAAATGTTTTACCATGGAATGGAATTCTTTTGTTGGACCGCTTCATCACGACGTATTCTCACGTAGCAGAACGTTACAAGCTTTATGAGTCTCTCAACTTGGCGCAGCTACAGTAAAAACGCAGCATGGGGGCTGACAGCCACACGAGCACGACGCACGACGGCTGGCGCACTATTGGACAATTATGGGGATCACTGGGCAAAATGTGCTGCGTATACCAGCACAGTCTAGGACGCGATGCAGAAATAACTTGGGTGCTTAAGTTGTGGGGCTATGCATGAGAATGCTACAACAGCAAATCATCCAATAGTTTTACGTCGTTTGACGCAACTCAACCCGACATAGCAGGAGCAACTAAAAAGCCCACGGGAGCCAAAACGAATGGAGTTGAGCTGCACATATAAAACTTGAGGTGTGAAAGTTAAGATATGAAGTATTCGAGATGGAAGATGACTAAAATTTTCCCGTCGTTGCACCTCAGCGTCCTACACTCAATCCCCTGCTAGTCAAAGACCCCACGGCCAGTAATGTTAATCGGAAATGGGTCACCAATGGCTCACAAATTCAGTGCTTATGATTCTTGTCAATGTAGATGAGAACGAAGGCAGATATATTTATTTCATAGACGAGCACGGGAGCTGTGCTTGTTGATCGTGCCTATACCGATGGGGACCTGTGCAACTTTCCTTAGGGCTCAATGCACCCTGACCCTCCCTATTAATTGCCACGAGAAATGCAAATGAAACAACATACAGAATTATAAGGGCGAAGCGGTGTCCTTGATGCGCTCTAATTCAGCTGTTCGTGCGTAGCCGCAAAGTTGCTCGTCATTGAAAGTTAACTGACTGAGCTAACCTAGTACAGGTGCAAACTTCGCCTTTCGTCCTCAACAAGGAGACATACTAATACGAAATAGACAGCATTAAGAACTGCACCCTTTAGGAAGCACAAATTGTGCCTTTGATTTGGTCTCTTACCATAGGGCCTAAGGCAGTCAAACGCATGTGATTGCGGTCAGAGTTTCAGGGTATCATGGCATGCAGGGAACGCCGAAAGCTGAAGGATTCTTGCGAAAACGTCCTAAGTTCATTGTATTGCACTTTCGTTCAAATATTACCCATGTTACACTTCGTGCGTTTGTCTAAGAAGGTGCTGTTGCACCACCTAGCGCTCCTTTGGTGATCCCTACAGCAATCTTGCAGTGTTTCCTCGCCCGCTTCGCACTATCTCACGGATTACTTTGCCCCGAAGTTGACTTATTTTTATTCACAGCCATCTTGCTGAAAGTAAAATAACAATTGTGCTGAGTTCATTGTCTGCCATTTGAACTCGTCTCCGTGAGAGGGGTTGAAGCCTGCGGTGTATTCCGAGCCACACCAAACGCACAGTGCCCGTGCAAGTCGTGCGGCTCATGACGTCAGCTTTAGCAGTTTGAAGGTGCGGCCAAATGCCAGAGCGGCGCAATATTCATCAGAAGAATGCCACTCGAGGCCCTGCGTTAGCCTCTGCCTCTGCGGAGCTGCCAACGGTGGGATCGACTTTCCTTCGATCGAGTAATTTGAGACATAAAGCATCCCGTTCCGCTTCGTCCCTACGCGTTGCTCTAGCAACTCTTGCCTGCGTTGCCGCAGTTGCAGTGCTTGTTTCCTTCTGTTCGCGAATTTACGCACGACATACAGTCCAACACCTGGGAACCCGCAGGCTGGCCAGCTCA